AGGGGGGGGGGGGGGGGGGTGACAGCGTCATTTTATATCCACATGGAAATCACACAACTGTGCAATAGGCAGATGGAAGTCACAAACACTCAGAATGTTTGATAGTGTACAGATATTAATTTAGCATGGCTTTCTGAAATGTAACACATTCATTACACTGACCACCAACAGTCGTGGCCTAACATGAGCGGTATCCTCCTACTTACCACCAATGTAAGGGGCATTCTTCTCACTGACCACCAATGTAAGGGGCATCCTCCTACTTACCCACCAATGTAAGGGGCATTCTTCTCACTGACCACCAATGTAAGGGGCATCCTCCTACTTACCACCAACCACCAATGTAAGGGGCATTCTCCTAATTACCACCAATGTAAGGGACATTCTTCTCACTGACCACCAATGTAAGGGGCATTCTTCTCACTGACCACCAATGTAAGGGGCATCCTCCTACTTACCACCAATGTAAGGGGCATTCTTCTCACGGACCACCAATGTAAGGGGCATCCTTCTACTTACCACCAATGTAAGGGGCGTTCTTCTCACTGACCACCAATATAAGGGGGCATTCTTGTTACTGACCACCATTGTAAGGGGCATTTTTCTCACTGACCACCAATGTAAGGGGCATCCTCCTACTTACCACCAATGTAAGGGGCATTCTTCTCACTGACCACCAATATAAGGGGGCATTCTTGTTACTGACTACCAATGTAAGGTGAAATCTTCCCAATGACCACCAATGTAAAGGGCGCCTTCTTCTTCTTCTTCTGGCCATTATTATTTGTTTATTTTCATGATTATTATTATTATTGAATCTTATAGTTATACAGAGCAGAGCAGAGCAGTAAAAAAAATAATGCTCTCTTCTGGGTGTGAAATGCGCTATGTACACCACAATATTTTGTATTTATTATCATATCTACAACTTACTGACCGTACAGATGCATCATGTGTTGCAGATATAAATCGCATGAAGTAAGACTTTCCTGAAACAGGAACATTATTTCAAAGCCATGAAAAGTTTGAGAAGTTCCAGAGGATTTCCTTTTCTTACAATGTATTATTTCAACCTTATTACATTTAAAAGGAAGTTCATGACATTAACGTTAATATTCTCACTATGCATAACCGTTGCTGCTTGCTGTTAATTTGTATTATCCTGGCAGCTGTTAGAGATTGAGGTTTTATTTCATCATTGTAGAAAGAGATGTCAATGGATATCAAAAACAGGACACGAGTGACCATGTTTGAGTTTTCTGGATTAACTGATGATAACAAACTTGTCCCGTTCCTCTTCATGTTAATTTTTCTGGTTTATTTGGTGACCATAGTAGGGAATGTGGGGATGATAGCCCTTGTCTGTGTCTTCTCCAGCCTACACACTCCAATGTATTACTTCCTGAGTTGCCTCTCTTTGGTAGACCTTTTTTACTCCTCAGCTATCACTCCGAATATGTTGTCTCACTTTGTTTCCTCTAAGAAGACAATTTCGTTTCTTGGTTGTGCTGTCCAATATTACTTCTTCTGTGCATTGGGGTGCACTGAGTCTATCCTTCTCTCCACCATGTCCTATGACCGCTATGTGGCTATCTGCCACCCTCTCCACTACACCTTGATCATGACCAGGAAGAAATGTTTTGGTTTGGTCCTTTATTCTTCCTTTGTTAGCTTCTTACAGTCAGTTGTGCAGACCAGTTGTGTGTTCAGTCTTCCATTCTGTGGATCGAACCTCATTGACCATTACTGCTGTGACATCCCGCCGCTGATGAGACTATCTTGTTCAAATACTCTTCATTGTGATATGGTCAGTGGTATTCTTATAGCGACCTTTGGAATATATACATTGGCAACAATCTTCCTCTCATACATTCTCATCTTTATGTCAGTGTTTAGGATGACAACTTCAAAGGGCAGGCAGAAGGCCTTCAGTACGTGCTCCTCACATATTATTTGTGTCTCGACCTTCCTTACAGCAGTTTTCTTCACATATCTGCGTCCAAATTCAGGGACATTTGAGATAAAAGACAAGGTGGCCTCTGTTTTCTATACAGCAGTGACCCCGATGCTGAATCCCTTAATCTACAGTCTGAGGAACCAAGAGGTGAAGAGGCTTCTTGTCCAAGTGATACAAAAATCGTTTTGATTCCTACTTGTCACAGGAATGCATGTCCCCCAGGGCAGTACCCGGATCCCCATACATGTCCCCCAGGGCAGTACCCGGATCCCCATACATGTCCCCCAGGGCAGTACCCGAACCCCCATACATGTCCCCCAGGGCAGTGCCCGGATCCCCATACATGTCCCCCAGAGCAGTACCCAGATCCCCATACACCTTTTATGGCCAATAAATTGCAAATAAGCCTTCAAAATGCGGTCAATTGATTTTCAAAGTTCTGCCCCCATAGTCTTGCATTGAGTTTGAGTTCGAATTTGAACCAAGCACGGGGGGTGTTCGGCCCATCACTAATAGGGCATGACTCCTATACGTAATTTTTCAAGTTGGGGTGCAATGGTCCTCATATGTTTGCAACAATACATGATTAGTCTACAATTGGATATTACAACATTTTCATAGATGCCAATTTTTTTAAAGCATATATAAAAGGTTAGATCCTATAGTTGGAGTTCTTCTTCTTCACAACACCCTTTTGGCAGACTCCCTTGTGGATAAAGGGGGAGTTCATTTCTTTAGAATAGTAGTCACTTCTTGGACAAACTTTGCGCCCATACTTTGGATGATTAATGAGTTCACAAGGATTTATTATCGATGAACGTTTACAGAGTGGTATTGACAACCAAGAAATAGAGGGACGCTGATACTTTATATGTTTCCTTATTTCAGGACTACACCTACTAATATAATATCAGGTGGCAGAGGGATCTATGTAGTTCTTAAATGCTTTTTAATACATTTACTCTGTGAACAATAAGGCCCCATTCACACGTAGCGACATACCTTTTGCAGCGGCCGGGATGGCGCGACTTTTGGGGCGGCGTTCCGTCGACGATCCAGCGACGGTAGCGCGACCTTCTCTGTCGGGCTCCATTAGAAAAAAGCAAAATCCGCCAAAAAAAGTGTCCTGTAGAAGCGACTTGCGACTGCGACGAGCGACGCGCGACATGGAGCTAAGACAGCTCCATTTAATATCATTAGCCGGCGACTTCTCGCGATAAATCGCTACGTGTGAATGGGGCCTAAAACTTTTATAATTCATATAACTACAGCTTTCCACTTATATTATAAATAGGATAGATACTGGTTTTGGAGATATCTTTTGACATCACACATTAAGCGTGTTGTGCGCACAGGGCCTGATTTCCTACAAGGCCAACCAAGGCCCGGCCTTGGGGCAGCAGGGGTCTGGAATTCCTATTTCCCAATGCTCAGGACATGCAGTTCTGGGCGCCGGGCAGGTAGTTGTTTTCTACATTTAGCCCTGATTTTCCACCTACCAAACTCTTTAGGTTGAAGGCAAAAATTGATGCTACTCTTATAAAATGCCTACCACCCACATGCAGGAGATATTTGCTATACCCCTTCAACTGTCTTCAGGGCCAGATTTCCACAAGGCCAACCGAGGCTCGGCCTTGGGGCAGCAGGGATTAGAGGGGCAGCAGGGGTGTGGAATTCCGATCTCCCGATGCCCAGGACATGCAGTTCTGGGTGCCGGCTGGGTAGTTGTTTTCTACATTTAGCCCTGCTTTGGGCAAGCAGAGCTAAATGTACAGCGGGGGAAGCCGCCGCTTGTTTTGTACAAGTGATCCCAGCAATGATGCCGAGATCACTTGTATGCAGCCTGAAGGTCTGCCATTCTCCATAAGGGCGGTGTGGCGGGTAGGGGAGGGGCACATTGAGGAACCTGGCCTTGGGGCAGTAGAGAGAGTAAATCCAGCGCTGTGTGTGTAAATATATATACTGTATATTTAAAGGGCTGTAACTACAGATCATGGGGCTCCATAGCAAAAATGTGATGGAGGCCCCCTAATGAGCTGTGAGTAAGATGGCAAGATCCAAAGACTCCTCTTTTGCATCTGAAGTTGTCTCTACACTGTAGATTTCAATTAGAGTTGTCATCAATTGAAACTGTTCTATGTTTCATTTGCCTCAACAACCTAATGGGGCCCTATTCCACCGCTAGGGCCCATAGCATATATATATATATAAATGCACCGATACTGTTTTTCTGGTATTGAGTACGAGTACTGATCTTTTTTTGCGGTAGTCGCCGATACTAAATACCAATACCAGTGCCATGTGCCCCGATTATGAGGAAGTTGGCAGGAAAAA